TCACATTACAAGTTAATTATACATTAGTTATAACTAAGTAAATTAAACTCAATGCTAAGAAAATAAATAAATAAAGTTCTCAAAACTTATCAAAATATTCTTAATTTAATATATATAATAAAACATGCCAAGCTCATCAACAATATCAAGTTAAAAATCCATTTAAGTGAATATAACACTTAAAATAAATTAATTAATCTAATTAATTAATTTTTCTCTAGATTTTAAAGCAACTTCAAATGCTTTTAATTTCACATAGGTTAAAGAACATATTAAGGCTTATTTTAATATCACATTACAAGTTGATTCTATGCAAATTACAACCATGTGAATTAAGCTTTCATACAAGAAAATAATTAAATAAAAGTTCCAATACTTATTCAAATACTCCCAATTTAATATATGTTAATGAATATATTAAGGCCTAATTTAATAACATGACACAATTTAATTCCAAGCAATATACAACCATGAGAATTAAATCTTATACAAAGAAAATAATTAAATTAAATTCTAGATAAATTACATAGGCATGCATACAAGTTGTATATGCTTAGAAAACAATCAATACAACTATAATATAAACCTAAGACATTCCCTACCTCCATTTGAGATGAAATCTCAAATCCCTACCGAAACGGAATCGCTCCGAATCTTACGATACTTCGAGGATTTGTCGGGGATAACGAGGGAAACAATAATCACCTTTGAGGTACCACCAAAATCCAAACCCGAACTCGAAATTCGAACTAAAAAATGGTCTGAACCGGTTTCTAATAAGGGGGAAAGGAGTGTCTCGTCAAGGCTTACGATAAACGCTAAGACACTACGGCAAAATTCAAGGGGGAAGGAGGTTAATTTGAGAGAAGAAGGGTGGCAGCCCGTTTTGGGCTATAAAACCAGACCTACAGCAGTGAAGAAGAAGGGAAAATGAAATGATTTATTTTTCTTGACCCTCTATTTATAAAAATCTCAAAGAGTGCCCCGAACATTCCTCGTCGGGTCCGGAAAAGTGAAATTTGAGCTGACGCTCTCAAACGGTAAAATACCATGAACGAAAAAGAACCAAAATGCAAAAAAAATGAACAATGAAAGAAACAATGTCGAAAACTGAGTCCCATGCAGAGAGATATGCCCCGAACAAGTTCGGCAGCAACCGGGGCCAGAAACCCAAAAACTGCAAGGAATGACCTGGCAGCCAATCCTAAGAGTTCACGACTCGATGAAATGTGAAAATGAATCCCGTACGAGGATCCAGGCTCAAAACGAGGCATTTTGCAATAATTTTCATAAATTGCACAATGGCTCCTACAAAAAGGGATAATTGCAAAACTGTCCAGAATGAAAATATCTTTTAAAATATATTTTTCTTAAAAACACCTGAAAAAAATATCTTTAAAAGATATTTACGAAAAATTCCCCATGAAACATCAATGTTTCTGAAGAATCCTTTCATCCATGCCCCTACGGGAGAAAGAAACAACCGGCGAACTTTTCTCCAAAAGTAAAACTACGACTTTCAAGGAAATCAACTGGCATGAAAACTCGTGAAGTCAAAACTCAATTCCGAACGTGAAAAGTGAGGTTATGCCAACAAAGTGACAAACGGGGAAAAAAACGAAAAGTGAATAGTATCGAAAAATGAAAAATGTGGGAAGGACGCGGTCCTTTAAGGAAGTTATCAATCTAAAGGAAAGAGTCTCAGAAACCATTTCTGAGTACTCGAGATGACACTAAGTGACGAGCAACCGAACTCAGAAAAGAAAAATCAACGAAAAAATTTATTTGTAAAAATTTGAGAAAAAGGAAATGAAGGAAAATAACTGGGACATTACACAAATGTTAAAAGGGTTTTACAATGTTAATGGTGGAGGAAGAATAGTTCATATTAAGGTTTGAACGTGGAAAATGCAGTTGGAGTTGTTTAGTTTGAAGTGGATTACAGAGTGTGACCATGGCGAGACTTCCACAGAGAAGGCGATGATTTATGAACGAAAATTACGGTTAACAAATGGACAATTTGGGGCTTTTATTCATTAATTATCGAAACAGTAATAAGGGTAGCACTGTCATTTTGAAAATATAACCTAGGTCACATGATAATTAGATGGCGGAACAGTGTCGCCTGACCTTTTTTGCAAAAAATTAGATAGTTTAGGGGGTTTATTTTAAAAATATAAGTTCAGGGGTTTCTTGGGAGACAGAGTAAAGATGTGGGGGGGTGGGCTTGGTGGTGAATAATGAAATGCTTTGAACATTCTAGTCCCAATCTAACTATTCAAGCATTATTTGCTTGGTTGCCTATGTGATTAGGATTTGGGCCAGGTTCTCAAAAGCCCACGTTCAACATGCTCCTACAATAAAGAACAAAGAAAATGAAAATAAAATGCATCAATTGTTTCAACCAAGGAAAATGCAATACTATTTACATTTTACCATTATATATATATAGTATTTTCTAGGTCCCTTTTTAACACGATTAGTTTTAATATTTTTTTATTATATTATCGACAATGTAATGATTAGTTTTTTTAAGTTCAATGTAAGAAAATGTAATGATTAGTTTTTATAAGTTCAGTGTAAGAAGATTAATTTAGTAATGCATGTTATAAAAAAATAAAAAAAAGTGGTAATTTTTTTGAAATGATAAAAAAAAAAATGCAATATTTATTTTGAGACGAATAAAACATGTATTATATAATATGGGTGAACGTATGGAGCAAAAAAACTTAAAAGGAAATAGGGAAATGGGTATACGTACACGTTGATGGGGGTGGCTATCAAACTGCTATTAATCTCCATGTAATAATGATGGGATGATTTCAATTACACACTGTACTACTACATATATCTTTACTAGTCCACGTATACCAATTCAAATATATTCATCATCATGTTCCAACTTTATGACTAATTTTCATAAATTGCACATGCACTGCATGTTCATCATAACTACAGGTAGCACAAATGTTTCATTTCATCGACAATATCTATATACATAGGACCCTCTGTTCCAATAAACTTGAGAATTGACCGCACCAGTTTTTGAATCACCATGTATATATATATATATATATATATAGGACCCTCTGTTCCAATAAACTTGAGAATTGACCGCACCAGTTTTTGAATCACCATGTATATATATATATATATATATATATATATATATGTGTGAGTGTAATTCAAGTACAAAATTGCAGTATTGTTATGACAAATACCGTGAAATTAATAGCGCAATTAAGAAAATGGCAAAAAGTAAACCATGCATCACTTATACTACATGTTGGGGAAGAAATTTGCACAGCTTGGTACTACACCATTTTTCTATAAAGAAAGAGAAGAAGATCAATGAAACTTGACGATATTGGTGTAGTGCCTGTCAAGAGCTTTTCGACGATCAAATTAATTACTGGAGGTCTAAAAGAAAGACTGGGATTTAGTAAATGTTTTTGTGGCTTTCCCTCAGTTCGTTCTGAGATCAAAGGAGATTTGTTGTGTTGAGATTATCGTTACTCGGTTGAACCACTTTATCTTATCTATTTAAATTCCCCTTATCATCACTACACAAAAACAAACCATGTAGCACACGGGATTGCTCGATCTGGCTATGATGCTTAACTATTACAGGTCGGGTGTTTTGCGTGCCGAACCAAAGTTTAAGTTATTAAGTGGAGTTAACACCCAATTTATTTATACCCATTTCACTTTCCATCAAGATCCAATGAGAAAAAAGATTAGTTCAAATACGCTTTCTTATTATTTCACAGAAAATAGATCATATTTGTTAAGTCAGTACTGTTTTTCAACGGTGATCATGTTGATTTTACAATATTGTGTGTCACCCTTAGTCCCTCAGATTTAAAAGTGGGACTTGGACAAAGAAAAAATGTTGACAAAGAGAATCCTACGAGGGATGGTTGAGTCACATTACTTCTCAACCAGCCTCACCATCCATGATTCCAATTATGGGGTGTTCTCTTTTTCCAGAATTGGAAAATTTTCATGCTCTGTTTCCAATTCAGACTTTCAGTACAACTTTGGTTTTGTGTTCAATTTCTTTCACATGCTATGTATCTCATAATTTTTTAGGCTCATTAGGTGTAGTCTGTTTCAGTTAGACTTGTACTTTGTTGATGAATAGTGTAACTTGTGTGCACGGACGGATCAAGGAATTCATATGGGGGGAATTATATTGAGGGTTTTTTTCATAATTTTAGTGGGGGTAATTTTAAAATTGTATGAGTATAAATGCAAAAAATATAAATTTAAGAATATAAAATGCAATAATAAAAATTTTCAGTGGGGGCATCTTCACAGATCCGTGCCCGCTTGTGTGCAAATGCATATGGCATTTGCTATGTTTTAGTTGGAAAACTTGCCAAACTGACGGTATGGCATGGAATTAAGGGCATGTGAAATATTAAAAATGTGAATGATCAAAGAAAACCAGACTAACAGTCACTCATGCGCGTTACATGAACAACAATAATGCATAATTTTCCGGAACTACTTTACATCTAAATAACATGAGAAGCCAGAATGGCTGGATTCAGTTCAAATAGACATTTGGAATTTCATTTTAGTCTAGCTTTTTCTAACTTGATTAAGCTTGTTCTTTGAACTCTCTTCATTTTTTATGTGAACATATCACAAAACTTGGTATTTTATTTGTCATACATTACTCCTTCACAAATGCATAAGCCTTAATAGTTCCTTTTTCCGTCAGTGTCCTTGACGAATTTTGACTCGAGTCTAATCCTTTTGGATGCTTCAATCACTCACAAACCACGTGCATTAGTTTTGAGGCTAAGCTTAAGTTCAATTACTGCTCACTAGAATCGTCAACAACTTCTTTTAAATGTTGAGCTCAAGCCGTTCCTGAACAGCTAGGTTCATCTCTCTCTCCATATTATTGAACCTCTTGCAAACTCTATATTAACCTCCTTCAAACCATCTATTTATCGATAAAAGATTCCCCTTTTACTCAATTTTCTTCAATGGATCTCATTCTAACACTCATTTCAATATTCTTCATCTTCCTTGCATTAAAACTGTATCAGCAGCAGCCAAGACATCTTAAACTTCCACCAGGCCCACGCCCCTGGCCAATCGTTGGAAATGTCTACCAAATAAAACCAGTGCTGCATCGGTGTTTTGCTGAATTCTCAGAGACTTATGGCCCAATCATATCTATGTTTTTGGGTTCGTCGCTGCACATAATCGTCTCAAACTCAGAATTGGCTAAGGAAGTACTCAAGGACAATGATCATCAACTAGCAAATAGGCACAGAAGCAGAAGTACCACTGTATTTACCAAAGATGGGAAGGGCCTTACATGGGCTGATTATGGGCCTTATTATTCCAAAGTTAGAAAGATTTGTTCCGTTGAATTATTCTCTAAAAAGAGCATTGAAGCTCTTAGGCCTGTTAGAGAATTTGAAGTCATGGCTATGGTTGAAGCCGTCTTCAAGGACTGCACAAACCCTTGTAATTGTGGGAACCCTTTGGCGGTGAGGAATTATTTGAGACAAGTATCATCCAACCACATTGTAAGAATGGTACTTGGGAAGCCATTTTCGGGCATCAATCATCAATTCAAGTCAATTTTGGCAATAGTACTAAAGGTTGGCGCACCAACTGACATCGCGGAGCAAATCCCATGGCTTCGATGGATGTTTTGGCTCAAAAATAAAGAAATTGAAAAGCATCGAGCGCGGTTGGACATGGTAACCCGAGCCATCATGGAAGAGCATACGCTTGCTCGTGACACAAGTGGTGTAGCCAGGCAACATTTTGTGGATGCATTGTCAAGTGTCCGAGAGAAATATGGCCTGGACGAGGACACCATTGTGGGACTCCTTTGGGACCTGATCTTTGCAGGCCTGGACACTAGTATGATAGCTGCGGAATGGGCCGTGGCCGAGGTGATCAAGAACCCAATGGTCCAACATAGGGCCCAACAAGAGCTGGACAGTGTAATTGGACCGGATCGGGTGATGACTGAATCCGACCTAGCAAACCTCCCTTACCTACAATGTGTGGTCAAGGAGTCGCTACGGTTGCACCCTCCCACTCCCTTAATGCTTCCCCATAAGGCCAATGCGGATGTCAAGGTTGGTGGCTATGACATTCCTAGTGGTTCCACTGTTTTAGTAAATGTTTGGGCCATCGGACGTGATCCGGCCGTGTGGACGGACCCGCTCGAGTTTCAGCCGGAACGGTTTATGGAGGAAGATGTAGACATGAAGGGTCATGATTTTAGGCTACTTCCATTTGGTTCAGGGAGGCGTGTGTGCCCTGGGGCACAGGTTGGCATCAATTTGGTGACCTCAATGTTGGGTCACCTAATGCACCATTTCAACTGGACATTGGCACAAGGGGTGAAGCCAGAAGAGATCGACATGTTAGAGAACCCTGGATTGGTGGCCTACATGAGGACTCCATTACAAGCTGTCCCTACACTCAGGCTGCCTACACACTTGTATAAATGTGTAGAAAATCAAAATTAGCCAACTATTACTCTGTGTGATAATATCATTACAGACTTGGCTGTAATAAATACACACACACACACACACACACACACATATTTGGCCCATTAAATTTCTTCTAAGATCCAAAACTAGTTATTCAGACAGCCTGAATATGAACCATAGCCCATAAAGTCAAGCTGACCCGTGAGTCCTTACTTTTCTTCCTTTTTTATAGGGATAATGATTTGGAGTTCTACATATATAAGTGAAAACTGATATATCAATATGATTAATATTTCGAATGCTATAGTAATGTCTGACTTGTCAGCCCTTACTCGCACAAAATTAGTCAAATGCTTCCAACGAACTCTCTGTCATTACTCTTTTTACAGGTATGAAGGTTCCTTCCAACAGCAGTGACAAATTTATTGTCTTTTGGCATCAAATTAATTCCAAAAATTCATTAAAACCATAATGGTTGCATGTTTAATCATGTAGGGACTTGCAATCATTTATTTGAATCTATGAAATCAAAGAAACTACAAGGAAATTAAACTAATACATGGACGTTAATAATGAGCTAGAAAGTAGTAATTTTGTTCCTAAGTAGTATGAATTGCGTAGTGGGAAATGTGGATGACATCTTCAGGCTTAGAAGGTGGATGAGACTTGTTTCTCATCCTCAATTCCTGGTATTCTTTGTAAAAGAAGCTTCTGTACTTTGGTGGCTCTCCAATCTCTTTAGTGAAACGTGACAATGGTTCTACCCACTTGTCTCCCTGCAAGTTGTAGAAGAAGGCGAACGAGTGTCGCCGACTTCCTTTCGGTCTCACCACTCTGTGAGTTGCACTCTTAAATTTCTGATTGCTTAATACCTTGAAATGCATTTGAGAGTCAAAAAAAGTTCATTTCAACAGATGAGCTACTTCAGTACTTAAAAGATTTTTAAGAAAAATAAATATATATAAAAAGTAGCAGTCTTCTTCTAAATAAAATGATTTGATTCTAAGTGATTGTTAATTACCACTGGATTTAGATATAAGTAGTTTACGGTAACTAATGAAACAGGCAACTACCTTTATGGCAATCATATTCAAATATTTAACTAGCAGATGAAAAGAGTGACATGGTCAAGAGCTTGCTTACAATATGAAATGCTTGATAGAGATGTATCACCGAACTTTGGAGCCTGTGGGCCCCAATGAGAGAGAAACCTCATGATCGATATAGAATAATTTTTAGTATTATATAATATATAAAAGGCCTAATTTAGCGATATCCGATCATGATATTAGGTGAAAGATGAGTTGAAGTTTGAACAAAATGAAATAATGTTTTGTTTTTTTCGGATAATTAAAATGAAAAAAATGTTGTGGAAAGAAAAGTAAAAGATAGATGTATCAACTAATTTTCAGATTTTATCTTGTGTTTTTGAATTATATTCCAACCCTTTGAATTATGGTTCTTGATTTTACTGTTGCTCCATAAAGAATATGATCAGTTGAAGTCATTGTCAATTCTTTTAAGTTTCAATCTGTTGAATGCAAATGCATGTAGACCAGCCACGAATGGTTTGATAGATGAGTTAATTTATTCTTTTATTTACCTGAATAACATCAGCAACATTAACAACTAATGTGCCTACTTCAGGAACCACCGGAATCCATTCTCCGTCCTTGCGGACTTCTAGGCCTCCAACTTCATCCTGCAGAACGAAGGTGATACAATTTCCATCTTCATGTTCGGATACTCCGGTATGCTCAGTTTCTGTTGCCGGAAAGTAATTCAATGCCGCCATGAAATCCCAGCTTCTATCATGATTGTATTCTCTCAAGAAATTAGGAGGAAGACCTAGGCACCGGTTTATGATGCTCTCCACAACCTCACCTGTCTTGGCCAAGTGGCTGAACATTTCTTCCAAAACTTCCCTGAAAACCAAAAATTTGACATGTTATCATGATGAATTTCACTTTATTGCAAGGGGTTTTCAGTTTGACATTGTGATAACAGTAAAAGTTTGCAACCCACAACAACTACTAGTGCTTTAAAAATGCTTTGCACAGTTTTAAGTCAAAACTAATTACACAAGACTGATCAATCTCAACTATTGAATGCAACATAATAAATGCTGACATAATAAATAGTGATGAAAAAACAAAAAGACAAATACCGGAATTGGGGAGGATTCTTGGGGAAGACATTGAAGCTTGATCCAGGTGGAAACATCAAGAAATACTCATTCTTGTCAGGCGAGTGCTCCGGCTGCTTGGTGTAGCCGGCTGGAAGAGGTGCACCAGGTCCAGGACTAGACTTGAGCTTCTCTTGAGCCGAGCAGTCGAAAAATGACTTGGACAGCTCCATGGCATGGGTCATCAGAGCAAGGGGCACCCCATGGTTCACAATTTGGAAGAAACCGTAGTCGGAGCAGGCTTTGCCAATAATGTCCATGGCCGCCTTCTTCCCATCTTCATCATCACCACCATCCCTGAAGAAAGGAGAGAGATCAACTGTGGGAATACTTGAGTTATTCATTAGTTTCAATTCCACTAATTAGGATACTCTTTTGATTCATACTAGGTTTCACTACCACTACTTATAAAGAATTTTCATTTCCAAATTATTGTTATTATTTTTTTCCCCTACTTATTTTCATTTGCATTTTAATTTGTCCTCGGCCCATAATCCATATATCCTTGTGGGGTTCTCCCACATTGGTTTGTCCACATGTAGATGGCAAGGAGAGAGAGTGTGGGTGTTCAATTCAGAGTGAAGCACTTGTGTCATAATCAAAATGTGAAACATATTTGGACTGTGTGTGATAAGATTCTGATGCCTTTCAAATTTAAAAATAGCAAATGGATTGAAAAAACAAATGCAACGAGAGTAAAGGAATCATTACACGTTTAACTAACTACCGTGACTAATTAATTAAGCCTCCTCAATCCAAAACGTTTCCCACTTATTTTCGATGCCAAATCACAAAAATCACGCGATGTGATGATGTCTTGTCGGGTAGTGGATTACTGTACCGACTCATACATTAATATTCGATCTTATATTATATGGTAAAATATTCGAACTCGTGTATATAAATCAATTTTCTTTTTCTTCTTCTATTTTTTTTTTTTTTTAATTGGATGTTGACAAGAAAATGAAATATCAATTGCCTCCTAAGTCCTTTCTAATATAATCAGATTTCAATGTATGAAGTTATAAATTAAGAAAAATAAATAAAAATTATTAAATAAACTTTAAAAATAAACTTTGATCAGGTCCCTAAATAATTAATTTAGGTGAACAACATTAAACTTTCTTTTTTTATTTGTGTTTTGCATTAAACCTTTATATTTTAGTTTTTTGCCCTAAAAAAAAAAAAAAATTCCGTAACCATCCGAGGGACAATTTATGTGAAAGGAAATTGAAATAAAAATTGACTAAAGTACTCATTAAGCCTGTCTGAAAATATGATTTATAGAAGCTATGCAATCTGATTATTCTTTTTTATTTTTGCATAGGATTGTTTTATTTTAATTATTTAAATTTTGTATTTGCATTTGATATTTTAGAGTTTAAAAAATAATAATAAAATAAATAAATAAATTGAATTAATTTCATTCTGAGGTTTATGTAAAAAAATATATGTCACATCTTCTCCTTTACTGCTGTGATGTTTGTGGTATTACTCAATTTTACACACACACACACACACAAAAAAAAAAAAAAATGTGTTCGCCCAATTTATTAAACTTGAATTATTATATCTATGAGAGTAAGAAATCAGGATGTGTTTTCTCTTAGAGAATGAAGATGACTCTATTTAATAAATGTGTATTAAATAAAAATCAATAAAAACAAAGAAGTTTGATTAAGAAAAATATTGAGTGTTCATTAATTGGGGTACCAGGAATAGTCAATAGTAAATATTCTTCAACCTATATAGGTAGGGGTGGCAAAGTTTGATATGACCCGCCAACACGACTCGAACATGGCACGAGTTAATCGGGTTTGTGTTGATCTTAAATGGGTTCGGATCGTAAACGGGTCGACACGATTTACCCGTTTAGTTAATCGTGTCATGTTTGGATTAAGGAGTTCAATTCGCGTAACCCGTTTATACCCATTTAATTGTATGTGTTATAAGCAAATTTCTATTTAAATTTTAAAATAACTATTTAAACTTGTATCTTATAATTTATTTTTTTTGTAAATTAGAGATTATTTAATAATTTGGTTGGATTGATACTTATATATTACGTATTTTTTGTTTTATCGAGTATTATTAATAATTTAAATAATAAAATATTTAATTTTATTAAACAGGTCATTAAACGGATAGACGTGTAACCCGTTTAATAAATAGGTCGGGTTAGTGTTGAGTGTTCCTGACACGATTATTAAACAAGTCGTATTCGGGTTGAGCTGTTTAGTAGAATACCCTTAAATCGACACGACACGATTACGACCCGCGAACACGAATTACCTCCCTTAGGTATAGGTCACGTTCTAAAAATAGAAAATTTGATGAAAAAATAATATGAATTAGTGGTTATCAACTTTTTCACATTTTTTTCACAACAACCAAATTTATGTTTTTCCATTACATAATAAATTAATCATTTATTTGCTTTCTTTTCTTTTTTTACTATCTTTTTCAAACACAATAAATGATTAGTAGCAATTTCTTCCTTTTCCTTCTCTAATTATTCGAATATAACAATGACTTGACACTATTCTTTTCTTTCTCTCTTGTCCATCCAAATGCACTATAAAATCTAAAAAAAACGTTATCCAATTTATAATTTAGGAGACATTCGAGGCATTCTTTTATGCCCAATAATGTTGTTGTCAATCGCCATACATTTTATCCATAACCCTTAACCTCTCTCAACTGAGGCCCCTCAGCAGGATACATCCCATATTTTAATTCCATCAACCTCTGTCATGGTCATCAGGATTCATCCCATTCCACATCAATGCATTAAGATATTTATGAGCTTAAATAGCGTCACAATGCACAGTAAAATATGTTTCGCGTTTAATTGGGTTCAACTGGCTCAAACATAATTAATTAGGGTCAAATCGATTTAAACAAGTTGAGATTCAAAATACGAACACAACATAATTAATTAATAGAATGACACAATTAAGGTTAACCCAAACTCACTAATTTCGTATTGTTTTCGAGTCATGTTAGTGGATTGTGTCAAAGTCGAACCCGCAGCCTCCTTTTCTTCATTTTTTAATTGGTCTGAACTCTGAACCAATAGCAGTGACAAATTCATTGTTATTTGACAACAAATTAAGTCCGAAAATTTATTAAAACTATAATGAATACATGTTTAATCATGCAAGACCATGCAATCATTTATTTCAATACATGAAATCAAAGAAATTAATACATAAACGTCATTAATGATGAGGCAGTACTTATTTTCTTCCTAAGTAGTATGAATTGCAAAGTGGGTAATGTGGGTGACATCTTCAGGCTTAGAAGGCGGATGAGTCTTGTTTCTTACTCTCAACTTCTGGTACTCTTTGTAAAAGAAGCCTCTGGACTTTGGTGGCTCTCCAATCTCTTTAGTGAACTGTGACAATGGTTCTACCCACTTCTCTCCATTCAAGCTTTGGAAGAAGCCGTTCGAGTGACGATTCCTTCCTTTCGATCTCACAACTCTGTGAGTTGCGCTCTTAAATTTCTGGTTGCTTAACACCTTCATATATATATATTGGGAGAGCCAAAAAAATTAATAAGAAAAGTTGTTCATTTCAACATATGAGTTAGTCCGGACTTGCTTAATTTGTAACTTTGAGAACAACTAGTTTTATGCTTTAACTAAAAACAAACAATCGTGCATAAAATTTTGTTCAATTCAATTTTTTAAAAATTGGTTTTTGAAAACTTAGTTAAAAAAAAAAAAAAAAAACATGTTTTAGTATAGTTGTCTTTTATAATTTTTTAAAAACAGTTTTATGTTTTGTAAATGTTTTAGAATTGTTTTTCAACTGGCAAACCGACTAAGCCTTTATATAATGTTTTCCCCAACCAACAAAAAAAGAATGAAATAGAAAAAGTAGTGGTTTAATGTTATTTACCTGAATAACATCACCAACATTAACAACTAATGTGCCATCAGCAGGAACCACTGGAATCCATTCTTCATTCTTGTGGACTTCTAGGCCTCCAACTTCATCCTGAAACACCACGAAGGTGATACAATTTCCATCTTCATGTTCGGATACTCCGGTATTCTCAGTTTCTGTTGCCGGAAAGTAATAGAAAGCCACCAAGAAATCCCACCTCCTATCATCATTGTATTCCCTCAAGAAATTAGGAGGAAGACCAAGGCACTGGTTCATGATCATCTCCACAACCTCAGCTGTCTTCCTCAAGTTGGTGACCAATTCTTCCAAAACTTCTCTGAAAAATATTTACCAAAAATTGACAAGTTTTCATGATGAATTTCAGGGATTTTCAGTTTGACGTTGTGAAAACTGTAAAAGTTTGCCGCCGACAACTATAGTTAATTAAGAAATGCTTTGGACAGTCATAACTATGCTATGAACATCACGATGGTGGTAAGAAAAAGAATTGACATATACCGGAATTGCGGAGCATTTTTGGGGAACACATTGAAGGTTGTTCCTGGTGGAAACATCAAGAAATACTCATTCTAGTCAGCCGAATGCTCCGGCTGCTTGGTGTAACCGGCTGGAACAGGTGCACCAGGGCCAGGACTAGACTGGAGCTTCTCTTGAGCAGAGCAGTCGAAAACTGTCTTAGAGAGTTCCATGGCATGGATCATCAGAGCAAGTGGCACCCCATGGTTCACAATTTGGAAGAAACCATAGTCAGAACAGGCTTTGCCAATAATGTCTATGGCCCTCTTCTTGCCATCATCACTGGAGAAAGGAGAGAGATCAACTGTGGGAATACTTGAGTTATCCATTATATAGTTTCGATTCAACTTTAGGATACTTGAGTTATGTCATTAGTGTTAATTAAGAGTCTGCAAATAACAAATTGAGCTTGTTTTGAAGATCATACGATTTGTCTGAATTCAATAATGGCAACTATATTAGGTGTGGTGGGGTCTTGATCGTTGTTGACTTCTTGTTTAACTTCAAATAGAGTACGAGGATTCCAACTTTTTTCTGTAAACCATGTAAACTTTAATTAATTCATGTCAAACATTTATCACAAATAAACACGAATTTCATAATCTTAAAACTTGATTATTCTCGCATTCTTATAATACATAAATAAATATAATTAGATATAAATACCTCAATCTGTAATTGTAAAACTCGGAGAGATCAAAACAAACATCAAAATCTTTCTGCGAAACGAACAACATGCTAAACTGCAATAGCCAAAACGTGAAATCTGATTTCTCTCTCTTAACCTTTTGCACATATAAATATTATACGTGTTGTTTTCATTAGCGTACATAATTGATGGGGATATGCATTTTTATAAAGGCAGAGAGAGGACCAATTTTCCTTTTTAGTAACCTTAATTCCACTTTTTATCAAAGTAAGAAATAAATAGGAAAACACATC